AGCTCATGAGAAGGTACAGAGTATGACTAATAGGCTCCACCCGTGGGGTTTAGCCTTCGGCAGCCACGTATCAGCTGACGATAGGCGAAACTTATGCACGCCAAACTGACAATTCAAGGCATAGTCCATTGTTTAGTTGTGAAGAAGTCTAATCCTGTTGCTCTAGGTGGAAGTTCAACTTAACAGTCTCCACTGAAAATTCTAGTATATCAAACATTGTTTGGAACAGTTGACAAACTTATGTGCCTCGAGATCTGGTGGGGGATTGTTGGATTATGGATGGGCTTAGGCCCATATAAGACACCAATCCCTGGTTAATCTTGAGGCCCATGTATGAGATGGCAGGTGGTGGGAAGTTTAGTCCCACCTTGCTAGTTGAGGAGAGTTGAGACCCCTTTATAAGGGCTGCTCTACCACTTGCCATTGGAAGCTTGGGAAGAGGAGTGGTACACGCGCGCTCCTCCTCCTCCGCCGCCCGCGTCGCCACGCCACGCCTCACCGGGCTGCGGGTTGCGGGAATGAGTCGAGCCAAAGCTTATTTTTGCCGCTCAGGAATGAATTAATTAATCAGGGATTAATTAACGAGTCGCTGCCGGGATTCGTCAACTCCCTTGCCGGGGGTGCGACCCGCGTATTCGTCGACTCCCTTGCCGGGAGTGGGCCGACTCGGGAGAGCAGGTGCCTCCGGAACCCTGTCGTTCGAGATCCTGCCCGGGAGAACGGCAATAAGGTTTTTGGGGAGCGTCTTGACGCGACTGCTCCCGATCCGTCCCCAACTCCGTTTGCCTCTGCTTCCACTACTTCCTCTGCTTCGACACCATGGCTGACGACGCTGCCGCTAAGAAGAAGGCCACGGACGACGCCGGGGCTGCTGCTGCAGCCGTCGCGTTGGCCTGGCCAACCGGAGGGTATGATCTGTTCATCCCTCGTTTACTCATACTTATGCTAGCCGTATATGTGCTGCTCATAGAAGGTTCGATTCTATGTTCTGTACGTGCTAGTATGCTTAGGTATCGCTATGAGATGCATACTTTTCATGCCATGCTTACTGTTAACTCATGGATAAGTCTAATCGGAAAAGTGCTAATATTTCCAACAGAGGCCGGGGGTTTTCCTCCTTAAAAGAAAGAGTGGATCATTGTGGATTTGCAAAGGATTTGCTTGGGTCATATATCTTCATAGCCTACTTACCAAAAGTTGAAAGCCAAAAGGCCTAACCAAAACCCATGTACAAGTCTAGCCCAAAAAGGTCATGCTCTCATGTGCCAAGACTAACCTAGCAGATTATGGCCAGCGATGTTGCTGCGCTAGTTGAGTAATGGAATCCAGTGGTTCCAAGTCAAAAAAAGAGTAGAATTTATTTGGGACCTGAGAGGAGAACATTGTGTGTAGGATCTAAGTATATAGACTAGAGTGGATGAATGAGAGATCTAAATTTTCTTTTGAAACATCAAAATTCTCAGCACAACACAATAGAAATAACTCAACAAGACGCAGTTCTATTAGAAGATAAATTACTTAAGAAAAAAGACTACTAGGAAAAACTAAATAATTCTATTGCCAGATATTCATCAGAGCTAATAACAGAAGAATGACAATGTAGCTACAAATGAAAATCAAGCGAACAACAGAGAAACTATCTTAAGCATCACGTGAGTAACATGAATCATAACATGATCTCAACACGGATAGAATTGCATGAGGTAGATGAACAACCAAATCACCGATGAACAATCACCATATAGATAACTTAACCGAAAGTAAATTACTGAAAGTAATACGATAAAGAGAAAAAACCAGTTGTGCTTGATGGCGACAAGGTATTTGTTCTACCAGATCATTTTTCTAGTGCCCAAGGCCGACAAGGGGTGGTTATGGCATCGCCGGCTAGCATACGCCGGCATGAGAAATTTCAAATATCTCCTAAATGGTGAGCACATTCTTGGACTAACAGATGCTTCTTTTGAGAAAGATTGTATGCGTGGTGCATTCATAGCCGGAAAGCAATATCAAGCAAAGCATACTCCCAAGGGTATCATGTCAACATCAAGGCCTCTAGTGCTTCCTTCATGTGGATCCCTTTGGGCCACCAGCCTTGAGAGAAGAAGCATGGTCTAATCATTGTTGATGATTTCTTAATATATACATGAGTTTACTTTCTCAAGTCCAAGGACGAGCTGAAAGTGACATTTGTGGATTTTTGTCAAGCCCAACGCATGTTCGATAAGCTAATCTTGGCAATTAGAAGAGACAATGGCTCGGATTTCAGGAACGACACTTTGGGAGAATTTCTTAGTGATGAGGGAACCGAGCATCAATATTCCGCACCCCTTAGGAGTGTTCCTTCACGTTGTACTGGGGCAGAATTGTTGAAGGTTGAAGATAGAGCTTCTTTTGAGGTTGTACTGCAGAGAGGGTGCTGCAAGTGGTGTCGTCTTTGGCTGATTGTTCTGCAAAACTTCGGAGGCTTATGATCCAGGATGTTCCAAGTGCTCATCTTTCGGCTCTGCATTTAGTTTGGTGTTTTGGGTGTCAAGGTTAACTCACTATGGTTTGAAGCCCGCTAAGATGTTCTATGTCACTATGGTTTGAAGCCCGGTGAGATGTTCTATGTCGTCCTTTTGCCGATACTACTCTGCTTATAACTATCGTTTGGGTTGTGGTGCTAACAGTTTTGATGGCGAGCACTTGCAACGGGTTTTGTCTTAGTGGCCCAACCCGCTTCTCCTCTTTTCCGTCCACTTGTAATTTATTTTCTTTGTCTCAAAATAAGTTTCTTAACTTTATACTAAATTTAATACAAATTCGTACTAAGCTCAAGACACTTATTTTAAAACGGATGAAGTAATTTGGCTATAATACTAAAGTTGTGTACTGGTTATTCCGGTAAGAAATTCTACTAGCGCTTACCAACTCATGGTAAACTTTTCTCTTTCACACAGTACATGATTTTCAATGTGAACTAATTTCTAGCAACATCTTAGATTGTTAACTTGGTTTTTTTTTAGAAAAGGAGGATGACCCCCGGCTTCTGCATCTGGAAGATGCATATGGTCACTTTATTGATTATTTTCGAGGACCTTACAAAGTATTACAACAATATGCATGAATCCGCCATCTTGGCAATATATGCCGCTACTCCTATCCATACGATGAAGGGGTGCTACCTGGGCCACTCAGACCACTCACCGAAGCCTAACATCAAAAGCCGAAAGCCCCAGCCGAGCCACATACCGGGTCTGGGGCACAATCCGGTCAGACACACTCGTGTGTCGTCGTCGCCATCTTCCACAGGTCCGTCTTCATATCATATTGAGGCATCTACCTTGTCTGGCCACTCAGCCATCGACGTCACCATGACGCCAGACAGCTACCTCCTCCTGCGCGAGTCCATCCCGCGCATCGGATGCCGAGTCTCCACAGCGCCATGCCGCCGATAACCGCCGCCATCAATGTGTGAGATGAAGCACCGCTCCGCCGAGTACGGCAAGGCTGCTGAAGACCAAGCACCATGGAAGAAGGACTCCGAGGTTGAGCACATAGGCGGCAGAGCGCCAACGCACCGCCACCAGACGAATTCCGACCACGCCACCAACCGCCGCCAAGCAACCAAAGCATCACATCCACCTCAAGCTCACCACGAACGACACCCCCAAGAGGGTGACGACGCCCGGAGCGCCGCTGTCGCTCGATCCGGCAAGGATTAGGGCTTTCGCCCGGCATACGAGCTGGGTGGAAGGAGGAGGGGAAGGAGGTAACCTAGACGGTGCCTACAAGAAGGGTACGACGCCCTCGGGCGTCGCCGCCGTCGTGGCCAGCACTGCTGGCCTCGGATTTCTCCGGAGTCACCTCCCACCTCCAGCCGCCAAACAGGTACAACTCCGGCGACAAAGGCCGCCCAAAGCAGGACCATCGGAGGCAGCCCTGGTTGAAGTAGACGGAGGCCTTCAGATCTGGATCGGGCGCCGCCAAGATGCCCGCACCACAGCCGCCACCTGTCGCCGCCTCGCCGCCCCCGTGGCCGAGGAAGAACGGCCAGCACCAACGAGCACCAGTCACCGCAGACACGGCATCGTTCCACCAGCCGAGGCCGCCGCCACGGATCCAAAGCCCCCCGAGGAAGAACGGGGTGGCCAGATCCTCGCCGCCACCTTCACCGGCGGCCGAGCGGCGAGCCGGCGGCCACCTCCGGTGGCGATGAGGGAGAGGAGAGGTGAGGGAAAGGGCCGGCGGCGGGCTAGGGTTACGCCGCCCGAGTCGCCCCTGCGGGAGCGACGCGGGGGCCGTTCTAGATTGTTAACTTGGTGCCCCAAGCATGATGGGAAAACAGATAGCCAAGTTAGGGTGCCCCAAGCATGATGGGAAAACATTATAATATGGACAATGCAAACTGATCGATGAGGGTGGCCCAAGTGTGCCCAAGTGCGCTTGGAGGATTTTGCTCAAGAAGCCCCTACTACACACACACACGGTCTAGTCAACGGAACATGCACGGGACACTGGGACAGGGTGGTAGCGGTTGGCGCGAGATGTGATCTGTGGAGCTGCAAACGGCAGCACCCAGGCATTTCTCCTAGACGAACTCCCCTGGCGTTGATGGTTCGTTCCCCACCGCTCGACACGGTGGAGGCAAAGCAGTGTGTGTTTTTCACTGTGGCTGCTTGTCCTGCTCTTTTTTTTTTTGTTTGAATCATGCTTGTCCTGCTCCTGCCTTAATTACCTCCGTAGCTACCATAGCCTTTTAGGTGCACTAATGGATACATTAAACTCGATTAATTTACAGGCCTGCGATGACCATAAACACACCTGATTTAGCCAACACTAGTCTCGATCTACAATCTTCCACGCAGGCAGGCAGGCCCTACTGCTTGGCTTAGCTGCTGCCTCATGCACGCTCATCTGCCCAGGGAGGTGCTCTACTACCTTCTTCTCTTATCTTCACGATCTGCAACTCAATCACCGGCACTCTGGACTAAGCCGATCTGCTAGGCTGAGCCAGATTAGTTGCTTCCGTCAGCTGTCATCGAAACATAACAAATGTTAAGAAACAATGAGTAGTTGCAGATGTGTTGAACAGAAAATGGGAGGGAGTGTACAACCCCTACCTGAACGTCGTCTCAGGACAAAAAAGCACACGCCGATCACGGCGTAGCAAAGGAGGAGAAGCAGTCCCTTCAGATAATGCGACGATCCGTCCTGCGCAACACACGAACAATTCCTTCACTGAACGAGTTGCTAAGTACAATGATGTTGACAGCAATGCCAGAAACACCGACAGAACATAGGTTGGCTCGACGCACGCACGTGGCAATGCGAAACAGAAACGTAAATTACCTGGAGGGTGAAGCTTGTCACTAATATTGCCAGGAACAAAGAACCGGTCTCTAGCAGGTTGAAATCAAGATCCATTGGAACCCCCATGACCCAAGCCACAAGGACACTCAGTGGCACCTACAACAGTTCAGTTCCATCAGGAAAGAGACAAAGGCAAGACCATATGAAGATAACAATGTCGAGAGGTCAGTTAATACAGACCACAAACATGGAAATCTGCGTAGCTGACCCCAGAGATACTCCGAGGGTGATGTCCTGTTACAACAACAACAAAATAGAACGGATTTCGTGTTACTTATCGCTCCACGGCATTTCAGTGAGTATGCACGGGTTCTGAACTTCTGATGCTACTTACCAGCTTGTTCTTAAAAGCAAATATTATTGCCCCAGCATGCTCTGCTGCATTCCCAACAATCGGAATCAAGATGATGCTAATGAAGCTCACTGATAGTTCCCAGGATTTTGAGGCCGCCTGCAAAATTTGTTCCCAAAAAAAATTTGTTACCTGCGCTGTAGGTTAGCTCAGAGTAAAATTACAGAGGAAGTTTCTTCAGAACTCCCATCCAAACTTGGCCAACATGAACATGGCATGGTGCTGCATACCTCAATTGTGCTCACGACATACTCCGACAGTAAGGCGGTTATCACAGTCATGACCGCTAGCCAAACCATCGCACTTGTAAATCCCAGTACCGCCTCATCTTCAGACACCAAATCATCACCATCATCTTCAACCTAATCATTTTGTCATTAAACAACTAGTTATATGCATGGTAATAATTTATTCTGGTATCTGATCAGCACTAAGCCAAATATTACACACCTCCTGTGGCTCAAAGAGCTGGCGATGCGTCTTCAGCTGGAAGTAAAGGTAGGCTCCATAGGCCAGGATCATGAGAACGCTGCACGCCCGGGATAGCACCAATCCTGAATCGTCGGAGTTTACTGCATGCTCACCAGCGCTTACTGCATACCTCAGCATCAGCGGCATCGATTGGCATAGCACACCAAGAATCAGAAGCCCTGTGCTGACATCTGCTTGCTTCTGCACAAATGAAAGCCATATCGTCGTTCATGCGTCATGACAAATTCGTGCAATCTTAAACAGCATAACAGTAGTACGAAGTAGATAGCCGAGTTGGTTACTCTGTCATATGGCTGCTCGACACCGAGGTTGGCAAGCCCACCAAAAAAGAGGGAGGTGCCGAGGACAAGCAGCAAGTTGGACAAGATGGAGCCGAGCAGGGAGCATTTCACCACCGTTATCTTGCCCTCCCTCAGGGCGAATAGCGCGATGATAACCTCGGTGACGTTGCCGAATGTCGCATTCAACAGTCCACCGACTGCAGTTCAGGTAGATAACCACATGACGTCCAAGTTGTAGGTTGGTTAGAAACTTAGAATGATTTGACGTTTCGAGATCAACAACTCTTACCAGTGGGACCGGTGTAGAAAGCGATCTGTCTGTGATCAATCAAAATAACACAAAGAACAGAGTGCAAGCTTTGTCAGCGACATAATAAAGAAGGTGACGCCAAACCGAACACGTTATGACGATGAGCAGAGAAGCTTACTCCGTCAGGAAACTGAGTCGCTCCGCAAGAGGAATTAGCCCGATTAAGCTAAGCACGAAGAGCCACACCTGCATGAGCTCAGCATTAGGAAAGATATAGCAAGTGTCCGAAAAGATGGACAAACGGTGAAGAATATTCGGGATCCATATGCTCTTCCTGTCCTATTGCTTTCAGCCTCGAAAATATCACTGTCCCTGTTTAATCGGCCAGATTTTTGAACATGGTACAGCTTGGAATATGTTGGTACAAACTAAAAACATAGGCAGTCCTCAGTCCTGGTGTGTCTCACGTGTTCTCTGCAGCACCGGCACGACAGTGAGAGCTGAGAAGACGTAGGAGTCACATGCCGGACTGAAACCTTTGGTAAAATGACAAGAGAAGGCGGTACTACAAGGGCATCAACCTCTGCTTTGTCCAGAGGAATCCCACAGTGGAAACGGCCCGTGTTCGTGTTTGAGCTGAGCTCTCGCCGATCAGCCGCAGGATTGTCTCAGAGAACTGCTAGCGCAGTGGAGCCTACGTACGGACAGGATTCACCTGATGACCACGTTGTTAACTTAGTAGAGTACCACTAATCCTATCATTGTTGCAGCATGTGCAGTGAGCCCAGGGGCGAGATTAATGGCTGCCATCGCTGGACGGATCATGGATGGATAATATACTAGCAGTGGCATTAGGGAGGTGGATGTGAGGTGCAGAGGGGCATGGATGTTGATGGACCGACATGGGCGACATGGGTGGTGGTGGAGGGCAAGAATGTGCATGTGATTCGCAGAGCCGGGGCATATTAGTCGCGGCTTATTCCATCCCACGATTCCATCTGTAACGCGTCAATTTTGATTAGTGGTTGGGGTTTGAAGCCTAGCCCACATGCCGGTATGGGGTCACTCACATGTAAACAGCTCGTCGTAAATCAAATCTTTCTCCAAAATAATATGTAAATCAAATCACCATCATTCCATTCTTCTCATAAACATATACTAGTAGTAATTGCTGTGAATAGTTATGTTGGCGGTTTCTTTAATGGAAATCAATAAGAAAACTTAGTATGGGACTATGAATGCATTGGCCACAGCTCTAGCGCTCTCTCTCTCTCTCTCTCTCTATCTCTCTCTCTCTCTCTCTTCACATGTTTGTGCAACGCCCTGTCGAACTATTAATCTAAGGACTAATAAGGTAATACTAAATGCAGGAGTTAGTTAGCGGTGGGCAGAGGAGAATAAGATATATTTTTATGGTGGTGATGAAAATGTTCAGGATGCTTGTTTTACAGTATGTTGTAGACAAGGCACATGCAGGTTTTACATAGAGCGGTTGATCAGAGAGCAAACCAATCGTCCCTAATTACGTCTGTTAGCTAGGTGTTCCTGGGTTGATGTGACAAAAGCAGAGAAGAATGCGAGATCTTTCTACGCGAAAAGGCACGGCACTGAAACCGATGTATGACCCTAATACTCATAGGGTGATGAAAATGTAATGTGTGTTTTATGTTGGATAGGCACATGTAAGCTTAACACACAACCACAGAGCAAACCAATTGTCCCTGCACATAACATATATGATCCGATCCAATTGCGATAACGGAGGAAGCAATCGGAATCAAAGAGGTTCGATCGATAAACAAGCAGAAAAGAGCAGCTAAGTTAACGACAGTACTACCAAACACTAGCTACGATTAGGTGAAACTGGGATAGATAAACACGGAAATCAGGTGGAAGCAGGCGCTGAAGGGCCGGTGAGATTGGAGGAGGTTACAGGGAAGGAAAGAAGGGGGCGTACCTGGCCGAAGCGCATGTATCTGGCGACGACGGCGAGGAGGACGGCGGGGAAGAGGACGAAGAGCTTGGTGCCGAAGAGCACCTCCTGGAGGGTGGAGAGGAAGCCGCGGAGCGCGGCGCAGGGCACCTTGCGGACGAGCGAGGTGTCGGACTTCTTGCGGAGCGAGGAGGAGGACATGTTGTGCGCGGTGCGGCCCAGGTGCCGCATCTCCTTGCCGCCGGCCTCCAGCAGCGGCGCCGCCACCGCCACCGCGGAGGAGTCCATTCTCGCAGGCCGCGGGCAGGCTCGCTCGGCTGCGCTCTGTTTCTCTCGGCTGGCTTCCACCTCCTCAACAGCCCGGGCGGGGGCGGGGGCATGTATACCGTGTAGTGCAGGGGTTAGAAAAGGGGCAGGCAACGTGGCGTGCGGCGCCGCTGGTCCGTTAGCACGCCCTCCGCCTCGGTTGTGTGGCGGGGTACCGCTCGGGATAGCCTAGGCCGGCCGAGGGGATCGGCCTGGCCGGTGGCCGCTGGTGCTGGAATCGGGTACCGGGATGACGTGGATGGGGTAACAGCTCCCCCGCTAGCCTCGCCTAGATTCGTTGCCGCTCGGCACCCACCCACCCGCGTACGGCGCAGCATACAGCGAAGCGAATGTGTACGTACTACTACGTACGAGGGATGGGGGTGACGACGAGGAACGGGAAATACACAATCCTTGTTTTTCTCTCCTGGCGGCTGGAACCCTCCCTACCAGGAGAGGCCCTCTTTCAGCCCCCTCCGCCGACGACCCCGGCCGTCGGTGATAAGGGGGTCATCGAGTCCATGCGCGTGAATCGTTTTTACCTTTTTGTAGTCTAGATTTTTAGACTGTTCATCATCTTGGCTTCGGCGGCGATGATGACGGCACTGAATAAAGATTCTTCAGATTCTTTCCTGATGAGGCCATCAGTCCTACGGTTGGGGATGGATTTGGAAACCAGTCTGTTCAAGCAAAGATGGCGTGGCGGCGGCGGCGACATCCTCGTGGTGGACCTGTGTCCTCGGGCTCCGCCGTTCCGACGGCGTTTGCTTCAACGCTGGCGCGGAGCTTGGGAGGTAGTCTAGGAGCAGATGCAGATTGTGGTCTGCATCGACGACATCTGAAAGACGGAACCGGTGCTGGGTTCGTGGTTCCTGGATGGCAGATATGGTTTCCTTCTTCGTCGTCTTAGTCGTGGTGGGGTGCCAGATCTGGAATTCGATAACGTGTCTGGGGTGTTGCCCCTGTCTGATTCGTTCAACGGCAATGGCTTCACTTTTGGTAAGCCATCTTGGAGGTCCGCAAAGCTGCATATCAGCGATGGAGGCGCGTCGAGCTCGGGTGAGGAGGTGATCCGTTATTCTTTTCTTCGGTGGCTATTGTGGTGGTGCCAGAGGTAGGTGACCGGCGTTGGTGTCAATCTCAGAGATGTTCTGCTATATTTTTCAATTTTGTCATATCAGTTCTTAACTTTGTTTTTATGATATAAATGAGACGTGTATTACTATGAAAAAATACACAATTCCTTGGCTATGTGTGTCTAACAAAATACGGCAGCTCTGGCCTTTGATTTTTTTATTCTTTTTTTGCGTATGAGCTCTGGCCTTTGAATTGATGGTATATTTGGACATATCTTCTTGTGTATATACAAAAGTACGGCAAAGCTAAGCGGTGGCTACGTACGTACGAGAGAGGTCGATGGGGACGAATGTCTTCTTTCTTTTTTAGCGACCAAGAGAGAGACAAAAACTCTGAAGCTACCGGGAAGCTTCCTCCTACCAGCTCGTGTTTTTCTTTAAAAGCAACCAGCTCGTGCTGGTGTGGCGTGTGCGTGCTGGTCTTGGTTTTTGCTCGGTTTGGGGCTCCCGGTTCGGCGTCAGCGCGCTGCTTGCGATCGTGCGCCTCTCCAAGGTCCAGAATCGGATGTTACTCGATTCGTGTGTGCGCGTGTGCCATCTGTGATCTGTGGCATCTCGTCATGGAGCTACAGTGCCATGCACACCTTTCCTCACTCGTCCCCAGCGAGGCCCGGAACAAAACCTCGAGAGGAAAAGTTTCCCCACGGCCGGTAAACATTGACGACCTGTTTGTTTGTGTCGCGGCTGGATTAAAAAGTAGCTGAGCTGG